CCTACCAACTGGAGTTGTAGATTCCAACCTCCAGGTATTTTTGAAAATTAGGAAAGTATTTGCCCACTTGTAGTTTTCCAATCTTCTCTCCCTTCTCCGAGTCTCCCCTTGTCACCAGCCATAGCTAGCATTGTTCCTGTGGGCTCCAGGTGTCCTGTGGAAGTATTTTCCAGTTGCTCCAGGACTCACACCCTTCATCTCTGAGGAAATACAATTTGCTCGTTGGATTCCCTCTGTTTTTCTGGAGTTCATCATAATCCTCACAGGGAATGTATAAATACAGTTAGTTCCAAGGAAGTTGCTTTCTCTCCAGGGTTAAAAAAAAAAAAAAAAATCCCCCTGCTATGTAAATAGTCTTCCTTCTTCTTGATCCCAAACTTGGTGTAAAAAATACACTGTAATAATGGAATAGGAGAGTGTTTAGGATGAATTAAGTAAAAAAAAAAAAAAAAAAGAACAGGTTATGAAGTAGAATTTGTGGCATGATTTTAAATTTATTAAGAAAAAATTAAGATCAAAGAAATATACTTTGGTAAACATGGAAAAAAAGAATGTAATGCTGTTCTCAGCATAGCTATTGCTTAGCTGTTCAGGGTATTTAGAGTATTAATAATTTTTATTTTATTCTCTATTTCTTATACTTTTTTATCATGCACAAAATTAACATGAATTATTTTAAAAGTCAGAAAAATAGCATTAACTTTTTGTGTGCATTGTTTGGAATGTAGATTATGTCTCTGAAGAGAGCGTGGCAGAGACTGGTAGCCTACCAAAATGCATTTTCCCTAATAATAGGTTAGGGCTGACACATGACTGGACTGCATGTCCCAGCCTTTCTTGACATTAGATATGGCCATGCACTTAAAATGGAATGTGAGCCAGAGATACGTGCCACCTAGAGGGTGGGCTTTTATGTGTGGAGATGTGCTTTGTGCTCTCCCTTTCTCCTTTTGCTGATTGGATGCAGATGACAACAACACTCTAAGGGACAAAGGAGTTTGTGTTCCTGAATTATTATATTGGGCGAATCACCTGCCTACTTGAACAATTGTAGGAAATCATCCTAACACAAGTTTGCCTTATTCATCTCTGTTTCTCTAGGATCTAGCTGGGATCTGGCCCAGAAGAGATGCTCAGTGTGAGTTTGTTAATTAGAACTGAACTCTGACTTTCCTGACATCTTCGTCCCAAAGCTATAAATAAAATACCACAATTTTGTTATTACTTAGTTAATAAAGTATGATTTCATATAAAATGTGAAAAGCTTGCAACAGCATGTTTCCATTCACTCCTTCATCTTTTGTGCAATTGTTGTCATATATGTTTCATCTACAACGTATATGAACTGGGGATGGTATAAACTCCAAAGTACAGTGTTACACTTTTTGCTTTAAGTAGTTATAGTCTTTTGAAGAAATTAAGAAAAAGTACATAGTTTGTTTATATTTGATCACATATTAGCCATTAATAGTGTTCTTCTTTCCTTTCTGTAGATTCATGTTACCATCTGGAGTCTAGCCTCAAAAACTTCCTTTAGAATTTCTTGTAGTGCAAGTCTTCTGGAGATGAATGATGTCAGCTGTCATTAATCTGCAAATAACTTTGTTTCATCCTCAGTTTTTCAAGGATAATTGGGTTAACAATTCTTTTCTTCTAGTATGCTAGAGATATCTTTCCATTGTCTTACGATTTCCATTGTTTCTGATAAAACATCTGCCTAATTTTGTTTTTGTTCCCCAATATGTAATTTCTTTTCTCTTACTGTTAAGATAATTTTTTATTTCTGATTTTCAGGAGCTTGACCATGATCTGCCTAAGTGTGGTTTTCTATCCATTTTGTTCTTCCTGGGGTTTACTAAGCTTATTTTATCTGCAATTTGCTGTTTCTCAACAAACTTTGAAATTTTCAAAAATTTTTCTTCAAATATTTTTTTTTTGTTCTCTTCTCTCTCTTCTTTCTCTCTGGGACTCCAGATACACCCAAAGGTGACTGAGTGTGTGTTTGTTTTTCTTCAATCTTTTATCTCTCTGTCCTTCATATTGAATAATTTCTGTTTATCAATCTTCATTAACTTTTTTCTTTTTTAATTTGCACTCACTGATCTGCTGTTTGGCTATTAGTAAAATTTTCATTGCAGATATGCTTTTCACTTCCAGAATTTACATCCAAATCTTCTTATACTTTCCATTTACTTCCTGAAATTTCCCACCTTTCAATTATAATGGCTCTCTCTTCTTTTAGGTCCTTGAATATATTTCCAGTAGCTGCTTTACAGTCCTTCTGTGATAATTCCAACATCTGGTTCATCTTGGGATATATTCCTATGGATAGGTATTTTTCTTCTTATGAGTCACATTTTTTGTTCTTTCAGATTTCTACTAATTTTAGTTGTATGCTGGACAGCGTGGATGCCACACTGAAGGGATGCTGCATTATGTTTTCTTCCTTTAAAGGATGATGTGTTTTTTCCTGGTTGACAGTTACATTACTGGAATATCCTTTTGGTTCTGCCAGGCTTTTATTCTTTGTTAGGGCTGTTTTGTTTCAAGTTTGAACTTGTTCTAGTTCATGGCTCCTACTCCAGGCTGTAGTTCTTATTTCTCAGGTTTGGCTTTTCTGGGGTGTAAGATGAAATCCCAAGATGCTCAGGGAGGTCTCTCCACTCTGGATGGTGTGGAACTCTAACACTGTGAACAGTGCCCAATCTCTATTACCTCAGTTCTCAGCCTTGGAGCAGGTGATCTCTGCTAGGTTTCTTGGGGTCTTACCCCATGCATGTATAGGCAGCCCTCGGCCAAGGACACACACAACGAATTCCCACAAAACACACCCTTCTCAGGTCCCTGCCCTGAAAATTCTGGCCTCTTAAGAAACTTGGAACTCTCTGACTTACACCTTTTTAGTTCAAGGATATTACTGCCCCTGGGGCTCCACCTCCCTGTACTATGGCAGGAAAACACCTATAAGAAGAAAGCCAGGGCAGCTGCGGGGCTCACCTTGTGTGTTTTTCTTATCTCAAGGATCAGTCTTATGATGCCTGCTACTCAATGCCTGAAAACAATTGTCTCATATATTTGTCTTTTTTAGAGTTTCCTTCAGTGGGAGGTTATCTCCTGTCATAACTGGAAGCAGAAGTATAATTGCTATTTTTAGATATTTAAAAAAAATTACAGAATCTCACATTTCCCCTCAACAAAAATATATATTTACATGAGCAGTTCATAGTTTTCCTGGCAGCTTCAGTGTCTTAGCATGGTCAACTCTCTCAATAATAATAAATCACATTTGTACAGACATTTTTAGCATTTAAAAATCCTCTTGCAAATATTGATTTGTTCCTTACAACATTGCATTTGTCTCATTCTACAAATAAGAACCAGACTTAAAGATGTTAATTCCTTTTGGGCAATAATGAGAATTGCAACCCAGATTTTCCACCCAGGAGTGCAGACTCCGCTAACCTATCATTTTAGTCAACAAATCAGGTACCTCCCTAGGACGAGTCTTGCACCATATGCTGAGAAAATTAACATATTTCTCCATAATGGTACATACTATAGTACAATGGTTCTGGAATACAGTATAACCAGGAGCTTAATTTGTTGCTCTAAAAAAATTGGAGCCCCTTCTGGCTTGACAAGGTGATACGTGCATACACCTCTTGCATGTCTCAAGGTGATCTGTGTGCAGAACCCTTCCAGTTTCCATTCTAGCTTCTTTTCTACCCATGAACGGTCAAATGAGAAATGAGAATTTGATCAGGGATGTTGGTACCTCTGACTACTGTTGGGGAGTGGGTGTGGGGTCAACGTGGGCATGTGACGAGGTCTTAAGCTGAACAGGTCTCCTAGGTTGACTGCTATCTACTGGCAAGTTTGCACTGGCAAGAGTTGAGATATTACTACGAATGTTTTCATCCTTTGAATCAGTCTCAGAGCCTTTTGCCTCCCATAAAAGATGATGGTGCTTCTCACTTATAGTTACTCATAAACAGTCAGTTGGTCGCACGCTAGAAACAGGTGCTGAGCTAGCTTTAAGGACCAGGTGTTTGTGCTAACCACTGCTCTTGCTCGTGTGGCACAGGGAGATACTGTGTTTGAGTGGACATGCTGGCTGGTCCTACATGGATGATGCTGTGCAGAGAGGATATGAAATGATTCAACCTAATAAGCCCAAAGGAGCAAGAATCTTGATGCTGAATTCCAGAGAACTTCATTCTGTTACTTAAACTTTTCTTTCATCATCACTTTAATGTTACCCACTGATCTTAAGGGACTCCTTTCTCTTTTTTTTTGTTGTTATTGCTTTTTTTTCCTTTTTTAAATTGAAGTATAGTTGATTTACAATATCGTGTTAGTTTCAGATGTACAGCACAGCAATTCATTTATATATATACACATATATGTATACACATATATAGAGACATATATCTTCTTTTTCAGATTCTTTTCCCTTATAGCTTATCACAAAGTATCGAGTATAGTTCCCTGTGCTTTACCAGAGGCTCAGAGAGGAGAGGTGAAGCCAAGGAAAGGAGGAAAGTCCAGCCAGATAGTCCAGGGCTGAGTGAACTCTGCGTCCACTCTTACTAGTTTTCCCTCTTTGCCCTTAGCCCCACCCAGCACTGCTTGACCATACTGCCCTAAGCGGCTTTTCTACAGGGCCCGGGTCACCCACCAGAACTCAGGCAGCTCTGCTGATGGCTGGGAAGTGGGCAGAATCAGGCATCTGTCGACTCTCCACTTCTGCTTTCTCCAGGAAATGAGCAGAAACCCAGCTCAAGTGATTCATAGTGAAACATCGTTAAAGACTGAAGATTCTGGGCTCGATTCTCTTCCCCTAAGCCTGAGGGGCTGTGGCTGGTTATGGGGGCGCCCATGCCATCTGACGTCTCTAGGCCCTGACGGACATACTCCAGGTAGGTCACCTTGCTCTTGGCCACGCTAGGTCAGCCCAGAGGTGGGCATGGGGGTCCTGTCTTCCAGGGCAGGCTGATTGGCCGCCTCCTGGAAAGCTGAGCATGGGAGCACATGTGACCACCAGTGCCTGATCTGGGTTTGTGCGTGTGGGAGAGGAGGTAAGCTGAGGAGCAGGAAGTATGTGCAGGGCAGGTGGCACATGTGCTCAGGGCCACTCTGATGTCTGGGTCTGCTGGGGTATCCCACTCTTGGGGTGTCTCAGTGTCGGGGTGTTTGTCACTGTTGGGCTTTGCTGAGCCAGGCCAGGCTCTGGCACTGTTCCTCATCCTCCTACTTCAGGTCAAGCCCTTTCTCATGGTTCTGTTAAGGAAGGTGACCTGCCACACCTAGGAGAGGCTGGACACGGGCCCGTGTCTGCCAACTGTCCAGGGGTGGAGAGAGGGGCTGGCCGTGAGACTCCCCTGCCCACCCCCCACGTGGGCCTCTGAAGGGTCCCAAACAGAAGGGAGCACTTCAGACTGGTCACCAAGAGATCTGGCTCCTTCCTGGCCCTGTGGTCACTGCTGGGCATCTGGTAAGTAGGTACCCCTTGGGGCCATCCTTTCCTCGTCCGAATTACTACATCAAACCTTAGCAACATCAATATTTTTGAATTAGCAGGCCCACTGGTTTCAAGAATTAGCTCTTTTCTCCCTGCCTAATATTGCACCTTATGGAACACAGAACCAATCCTTCGTCCCAACCTCTCTGAAGCATGAGGAGCTAATCTGGTAACTAAGGAGTTCATGTGTTACCTTTTCCATGGAAAGTTTCAATTTTAATATGATTTTCTGCATAGTCATCCATTTAATTGTTCAACAAACATTTATTAAGAGCCACTTCCTGCCAGGCACTGCTAAAGACAGCCGGGTCAGTGGTCAGGGGAGGGTGGCGCCCAGTGCCACAGGCTCCAGTGGGGTGGAGAGCAGAGGGTAAGGAGTAGGGGTCAGGAAGCCCGGGAGAGCACATGTCTTCTGAGTGGAGGCCTGAAGGAAGGGAGGGCCTGAGCCATGTGCGTTTCTGAGAAGCTTTCTTGGCAGGGGGAACTGAGAGGGTCAAGGTGCAGAGGAGGAGGCCTGGTGGAGACCAGGGTGGCAGACAAGGCTGAGGAGTGTGCCAGGTGACCTGGCCAGAGAGGGCTGGGGTTGAGTCAGGTCAGGGAGGGCCTTCCTGTCTAGTGTGAGGACCTGGGCTGTAGTCCGCCAGACTTGGGAAGTTTTGAAATATTGAGTAGATAGAGAAGAAAATTTAGAAAAAACGTATAGGGTATAAGGAATAAAAATTGCATAAGCCCTGTGTGCTGTCACCTCAGTGTTGTTTTAAAGATCGTCAGCATCTTTGAAGTCATCTGTGTGCTCATCCTGCTCTGTCTCTTCAGAGCTGTTGATATGAATTTTGGGTTTACTGTTCTTTTGCCTTTCCTTATAGTTCAACCTTGTATATTTAAATTGCTAAATATGTTATTTGGTTTTGCATGGTTTTGACCTTTGTAAATAGCAATTAAATATTCTTTTAAGACTTGCTGAATTGCCTCAAAATTGTTTCTGATATTCCTTCATATTGTTGCATGTGCCTCTAATTCATTCACGTTTATTGCTGGATAGTATTCTGTTATCCATGAATATACCTCAGTATACTCTCCCAATATACTGCCAGTGGGCACTTGGGATATTTCTAGGTTTTGTTTTGTTTTGTTTTCCTATTATGAGCTGCTAGGTGCTGTTAGCACTTGTAAGTGCTAGTGGGGCTCTCCTTGCACATATATCCTGGGGCGTGTGTGCAAGAATTCCCTAGGGTGTATATATCCTCGAAGTAGAATTGGTAGGTAGTAGGGTATATAAATCTTCAGGCTTATTGGATGATATCAAAACTTTTTCCAAGCCAATCGTACCACGTTACCCACTCATCAGCAATATGTAAAAGTTTCCCTTGCTCTACCTCTTCACCAACATTTGATCTTGTTAGAGTTTTATACCAACTCAGTGCAAATGAAAAGCCATCTATGTTTTGAATTTGTAGTTTTTGAATTACTAAGGTTGGGCATCTGTTTATATGCTTATTGGTCACTCTAAATTCTTTTTCCTCTTCAAATCTTTTTCTCTATGGGGCATCTGTCTTTTATCCTATTGGTTTTCTGTAATTCGGCACATATTCAGATGTTAATTCTTTGTTTTTTATGTATGTTATAAATACTTTTCTCTTATTTGTGCCTTGTCTCCTTATGTTATTTGTGATTTCTATTAATGATTGAATTTCTCAGTTTCAAACAAGCTTAATTTACCCATATGTTCTCTTATGATATACACTTGTGTATTGTCTAAGAGATTCTCCTCCACTATAAAGTCATAAAATTATTCTCTTACATTATTAAATTTTAAAAAATAATTTTGCCCTTCATATTTAGTCTTTAATCCTACTTAGTGATGATTTTCCTATATGGTGTGAGGTAGCAGGTTATGTTTTATTTTATTTTGTTCTTTCCATATGGATAACCAAGAGTCTTAGCTCCACAAATCAAAAAGGCCATTCTTTAGCCACTAATCTACAACTCTGTTGTAAATCTGTTTAGTGGGTCTGTTCCTTGGCTCTCTTCTGTCAATGTGTTTCTCCCTTTGCCAACACTAAATAATATTATTAACTAGAGGCTTATAATAAATGTTGGTATCTGGAAAGAGTCTCCTCATTTTTTTCTTCTTCTTTCATTCTGGCTTGACATCCTTGGTTCCTTCTTACTTAATATGGATTTTAGAATCAGCTTATCAGGTTCAACAAAACAGGTATGTTCAGATTTTATTAGAAATATGATTTGAAGAGAAGTGATATCTTTAGGAACATGACTCTGCCAATTCACGAACATTGTTTGTTTCCTTATTTATTTAGGTCTTCATTAAAATATCTAAATAAAATTTTATAATTTTCTTTATAAAATTAGTGTACACTTTGCCTAGATTTATTCTTAAACGGTTTATTTTTATATCATTGCCACTGTTTTTAAAAATACGTTTTTTTGACTCTTGCTGACATATGCTCCCATTTTAAAGAAAAATCACTTTCTATGGGTATCAAAGGGAGAAGAAAGACTAGCAGTTAAGAGGCTGTTGTAATAATCCAGGCTGTAGGTGATGGTGGCTGGCCCCAAATTGATAGTAACAGAAATAATGAGAGGTGGTCAGAGTGGTGAGATTCTAGATATGTTTGAGAGGGATTTGACAGTGTTGCAAGCGTTGGGTGTGGGAGAGAGAAATTTAAGATGATTCCAGAGCAACACAGAGACTGGAACTGTCATTTACTCAGCTGGGTCAAGGGTGGAAGGAACTTATTTGCAAGGTGGTGATTATTCCAGAATATCGATGTGGACATATGTAAAGGTGGAGATGCCTGTTAGACATCAAGCGGAGGAATGAATTCCTGGCACGCCCCCCCAGGTGGCCTTCATGGTAGAAAAGCAAGGCAGCGTGGCCACTTGGGGGAGGGGGTGTTGTTACACAAAACAAACCGAAACGTCGGAGTTTGGCGCAGAGAAAGGTTCATCAATCGAGGAGGCGCCGACTCAGAGGCAGGAGGCCTAAGCTCGTCTCAAATCTGTCTTGCTGCTGGCTGGGGCACAAGGTTTTTAAAGGCGAAAACAGTAAAAGGGATAGGGTCGTAGCATATGTGATCAGTTCATGGACCTTCTTCTGATCACTTGGTGGTACGGTAACGGTGATGTTTTGGGAATCTCAATCATCAACCTTCTGGTTCCAACCAGTCTGGGGTCTACGTGCTTGTGCTCAGCGTGTAGTCACCATCCTCTACCTGGGTGGGGGTCTTAGTTTCTACAGAACAACTCAAAGATAAGCATCAGATGGTTATCTATTTCCCTTCAGGAGGAACTAGGAGTCCTGTGACTCTCCTGTCCTAATCATTAACTGCTTGAGTCTGCTCTTTGGAACACGGACTAAAGCTTTTTTTCCCCCTATAAGTAAGAAATGGGGGGCATGGAGGGTCTTTTTCACCCGGGAGGGCCCCTTAGGGTCATGCTCAGTTTCAATTTCCCCTTTCATTTGTTACTCTTCAATCCTGAGGGGAACAGGTGCTGGACAAGATCTTTCTTATTCTCTTTCGAATGAAGTTTTGGATAGAGGGGTTAAAATTCAGCAGAGGAACTCGATTTTACTGGGACTTGGTTTCAGGAGTGGAGATATTTTGTGCAGAAGGGGAAGCAGGAAGATGAGCTCCTCAGAGGTCCTTGAACCACACTGTAGAGTTCACACCCATTTTATTTATAACTAGGGCCTTGCTTTGGTTGTCTCCCTCCAAGGGCTTCAAACCATCAAAATGCACCTGCATTTTGCATGGGAAATGATGTCTCCAGGCAACATTTCTAAGCCCTCTGCACACCTGTTAAACACTTAAGTCTCAAAGTCCAGATCTGCGTTATCCAATACAATAGCTTATAGCCATCCCTGAAAAGTGGCCAGTCTGAACTGAGATGTGCTGTAAGTTGTAAAATGCACCTCGGATTTCAAAGATATTACAAACAAACAACAAAAGAAATATAAACTATCTTATCTCATTAATACTTGAAAATATTGATTACATATTAAAATAATATTTTGATATATTGGCTTAAATAAAATATATTTTAAAATATATTTAAACAGATAGATTTACCTAATTTAACCTATTTATTCTTACTTTCTAAATGTGGCTGCCCCCAAATTTAAAATTACACACGTGGCTTGAATTTGTGGCTAGTTTTATATTTCTGCTGGGAAGCACCCTTCAGAGAAATGATGCTTCTTGTTCCATGGCTAAGGCTTTTGTGAGGAACGTGGTTCAAGAAGGATGGGAAGTTAGAGAAGTGAAAAGTCACTTGTCCTACATAATTCCAAGAAGAAAGAAAGGATGGAGGATAAGAAGAATGGATATAGTGCTTACAACAAGCTGTACACTAGATAGGGCACTGGTATTTGCAATCTCATTTGATCCCCACAGTGAGATCAGTTTCATCACTCTCACTTTACAGATGAGAAAATGGAGGCTCAGACAGGTAAGGTCCTTTGCCCTCAGACAGTAAGTGCTTCATCTGGGATTCGAGCCTGGTTCCACCTGATAAGTCTGCATGCTTTGCATTAGGAACAGTACCACTGAAAAGCTGACGGAACACTTCTGGAGAGATGTAGTCAACATTTGGCAGGAGTGTGAAAACTGCTCTTCCCTTTTGGCCAATGGTTAATCCTTTTTTTGAGAATTCATCTTCATAGATAATTCACAGCAAACAAACAGATTGCATGGGGATCCTTTCTCCCAGCATTGCCCATAACAGCAGTGGAGATGCCCAGAGCATCCCATTAATAGGGAGTAAGAGAGTCAATTATGGGGATTCGACCAAGAGGATGCTTCTTGGTCATTAAATCTGATAATTTAAGGAAAAGAGCAACGTAGAATGCGTTTGTGGTATGATGATGGATGATTAATGCATTAAAACTTTGTACATCAATTACAAATAAAATATACTTGGATGTGAAAAGTAGTATGCAAAAAAAAAAAAGG